TTGGGGGCCCCCCCCCCCCCCCCCGGTATTGATCGCTCGTCTTCGGCTTGTGATTTCACCCGGGCTCATCATGGTGGCAAAGCAATAGCTTTGCGTTTGCAACCCTGGACGACTTGGCTTAAGACTAATATAATAATAACATAGTATTAAAATCTTAAGGGTCACTGTTGGTGAGACGAGACACGTATCGATAATTATACTTGGACATGGTGCAATATTAAGTTGAGTTCTAAATTCACGAGTCTCCAATTTCTATCTGCCACAGCTGTAGCACCTTATCTTCCAGTGGGTGCAATATATATGTTCTCTCATCCAGCCGTCATTTTAAACTGTAATGCCGTCAATCTATAGTCCATTGCAGCGAGCCAGAATTTCGAAGCATTTTATCGCTGTAAAAAGTTGTAACCGTTTCTTCGATCGACTCAAAGGACATAACCATCTACCTGGCGTGAGGGTGAAACTAAGTAATAAAAGATAAAAAGAAGATCGACAACTGACCCGTAGAAGGAGTCTTCAACTCATGATCAGGCACTATCTTCTGCGGACTTGTTTCTGATAAACTTGTAGCGCTTGATGCTGATCTGCCGTCAAGGAAATAGCCACATTGGCAACAGAACCGATGATGCTGTTGCAACTCGCTGTTCCCACACTTGGGGCAAATCATATTTTCTCAGAAATTTTGTCTACATTTCTTGGTTTAACTGAAACGTTTTCTCACTGTGTGTACAATTACAACTCATAAATCTAGTTGCTTTCCAAAGAAGAGACAAATCAATTCCAAGAAAGCCCCCTTTATATTTACCTACAACCCGTGACTTCTTGGAAACATGCAAACGTAAGCTCATTTTCATTCATTTTGAAAAAAAAAAACAATAATAATAAAAATTCCCTGAAAGGAAGTTGATATGCATTTTGATTTGCTATATATCTTTTTATTAATAAGTGATACCAGGAGAAAGAAAATTTACAGATAGGCTGATGATTTCTTCTGAGCTTTTTTTTACGCTGGATCGTTTTGCTTGGATTCATAAAATATAAACTGTACTTCCGGGATAGTTTGTTAACCATCCATGCACGCTTCCGGGATTCTTAGAAAATTCAGCGGAAGTTGTTTCGATATTAAAGGCACTTTGTAATTTGAGTTCTAAAACAAAGAGTTCCGCGGGTAATTCCTGGAACACAACTGCCAACTGTTATTACAGAAGGGTGTTTTCCTTTCTGTTCCTTTCTTATTGGCGAAGCAGATAAGATTAAAAAGTTATTGCTCGCAGGGTAAAGGACTCCAGATACTAATAACAGCCATTTTTTTTTTACGAGCGATTCATTCCTCTTATTTCTTGAACCCATCGTAAAAGTTTTGAAGCTCACTTAATGCAAAGAAAAATTGATAATTTATTTTACAGTATTTACAATCACGACTATCTTGAATTTGAGAAATTATCGTATTTATTCGAATGAGCGCCCAACCTCGAATTAGCACCCACCTCGAATAAGCGCCCATCCTAAAGGCAGAAAAAGTTAATAAGCGCCCAGCCTCGAATAAGCGCCTAACACCACCCCCACTCCCTCCTCCTCCCAATCAAACTGAAATAAGCGCCCACCCCCACGCCACCCACTTGAGTGACAATGAGATTGAAATTGCAATAGAATAAGTACTAATAAGTGACTTCCCTGAAAACGGAGTTTTCTTCAGAGTATTTTACAGAAACCTTGCTTTGTTACTTCTACACATTTTGTTCTTAGGCCGGTTCAGGAATTCACAGTAGGCATTTGCCCAGGGCGTTAAAATCCCACGGTCATTTGCCTCCCTTGCGGTTAGGCATATGGCAATCTGCGGTAAGATAGTTGATTACATATCCGGTCACAAGCAATCTGATGTTGCGTTTGCTTTTTCCGATTGTAAAAAAATTCTCTCTAAAAATTTTTCTCCGTTTGGAACAGTTAAGACAGAATCAGAGGAAATTTGGATCTGTTGACGGTGACTTTATAAAGAGCAACAGAACAAAGAGCACCAGCAAGATTTTGCGTTACTTATTGGGGTTAATTTATCACAGCAATACCATATTCGGAAATATTAGCGGGAAAAATGAAGTAATCTCGCTCTACTGCGCGCTCAAATGCCATGGCATTCAAGACGAATTTTTTCTCGTTTAATTGAGGGTTGTCCAATACTCACAAATAGGCCCCATTGGTACCAATTGTTCAATAGGTACCAACAGAAAATGATGTCATTCCAATGGTTCTACTTGTGAATATGCATTTCATTAAGGGGCTTAGATTATTTTCTCATGTGATCTAGCTGGGTACAGGGCAATTCCAATTGTCCATTAGTACAAATGGTACGATTAGTACTAACAGAATAGCATGTCATTCCAATGGTTCTACTGGTGAATATGCATCTCTTAGATTATTTTCCATGTGATCTAGCTGGGTACAGGGCAATTCCGATGGTCCATTTGTACCAATGGTTCAATTGGTACCAATAGAAAAGGCCATAATTCCAATGGCTCTATTGGTGAATATGCATCTCATTAAGGGGATTATTTTTTATGTGATCTCGCTGGGTACAGGGCAATTCCAATGGTCCATTGGTACCAATAGAAAAGCATGTCATTCCAATGGTTCTGTTGTTGAATATGCATCTCACTGAGGGGACTTAGATTGTTTTCCATGCGATCTAGCTGGGTACAGGGCAATTCTGATGGTCCATTGGTACCAGTGGTACGATTGGAAAATAGAAAAGCACATTCTTGCATGACGCAAGCCGAAACAGGCGGAGGCATGCAACGGATGCGTCCGCACCTTCAAAGTCTTTCAAAGTCCCAAAAATCGCATTTTTCCAAAGGGGTTAACCCATGCTTTTGGTCAAAAAATGTAATTTTTTTCGTTATTTGTTTTTCGGTCAAAATAAGACTAGAAATAATGTTTTAATAATGTTCTAGATAGAAAAGAAACCTTTTTGGCCATAAATAATTCAGTCTTTCAAAGACCCCAAAATCGCATTTTTTCCAAAGGGGTTAACCCATGATTCTGGTCAAAAAATGTATTTGTTTCTTTTTTTGTTTTCGGTCAAAATAAGACTAGAAAAAGGCTTTTTTAAAATTTTACCACTCTAACTAAAATCACAAATGGATAAAAATACCTCGGATGGGTTGTCATGGCAACAATAAAAAGTTGATATCACGTGGTTGATACAAGACCATACAACATAGGTTGCATTCCTTTTAGCCAAACTTTTTTCGGATTTTTTGTTTGGGTTCTCGTGCTAGCCGGAACAAAATCTGGAATAAGATTGATCCATTCAGTAGCTGCCTGCCGCTCCGATCTTCTTCTCAATTTCAACGCACCGTTTCTTACTTCTTTCTGCTAAATTAAGCGTTTTCTCGTGGAGAAACGGAAAGAAAATTAGGGCTCTTCAACTAGTGGTGGTTCGTACTGGGACTCGTCAACTTAAGTTGTCTGGAATTTGATTCAAGAAAATTCAGATCGAAGACAATTACGAATTCTCAAGCGCTGAGGAGCGCGCTCTAAACAATTACAGACATTGGACAATATAGTGTTACGGTGAGAAAATCTACGCGTTTTCACTTCCTAACGGATTTAGAGTAACAGTGGAACATGAGTTTAATATACTACAATCCTTTAGCGGCATAGAGCAACGAAGGAGTAAAAAATAACTTTTGCCTGAACAAATCTTGACCCGCTGTGTTTATTGATGAACGAGCACGTTCTTGCGATCGAAAAGCAGTTTCATTGTGGAACAAAGATCTGAAAGCTGACTGAGATACCAATCTGAACGATCCAAGTGCGGAGGTGGATCGTTCAGATTGCAATCTTAGATTGATTTAGTCCTTAATGGAACAAAAAAACAAATTTCTGATCGCAAAATCCGGATTTAGAGGAAATCCGGATTTAGATTTTTGAAATCCAGATTTCCTACTTTGCAATCAAACGAAACTGGCCGAAAACGGATTTCAACTCCGAGAAATCCGTCCTTAGGGTGGATTTCAATTAAGAAATCCAAATCCGGATTTCCTTTTTACCGTTCGATTGGGAAATCCGAAAAAGGATTTGAAAAACTATTCTCGTGAACAGCCGTCTTCTCTTTGCTAATTATGCGTGCGCGTGCAAGACCGCTGTTCTTAAGGACAGTTTTTTTAATCCTTTTTCAGCGTTGAAATTCGTTTTCGGATGTCGCGTTCAATTGCAAATCCGAAATCCGGATTTTCAGTAGTATAAAAATCTAAAATTTATTCAGCTTTCCCAATCGAACGCACCCATAGTCGAGCCATGGAAGAAAAACTGTTTAGGAAGCTGGCGTTATCTAGTTTTTTTTTTTTCAAAATATAGCCAATGTGAATGTGTGCTATATTGACTTACTTTGCTTGCTTCTCTTTAACCTTGATGAATTAACTGGATCCGAACTAGTTTAGTTGAAGACTTTCATACTTACCTCGTTTAAAATGCTTTAGACAAGCTCTGTAGTCCTCTTCGTCGATGGTCGTCGTCAGTTTTACCTCCGTTAGTCCAAGTTCTTTTAGAACATCCTCGGTCACTAGGTATTGCTGCACCACTCGACTTAGATTGAGTGTACAATAGTCTTGCCAAAGTTGTTCAAGAATGTTCAAAGACCGACATTCTACAGTGATTATCAAGCTTCCTGGCTTACAATCCACTAAAATCACCTCGCGTACCTCTTTCATATACCGTACAAAACTATTAAAATCTTCCGGTGCTGATGGGTTCAAATTATTTAAGTACTTTGAGGCAATTAAATTCAAAATGTCTTGTGAGGAAGGAATAGTAGTTACGTTCGAGGTTTGTGACGGACTTGGGGTGGCTGGTACAACTGCCCCCCCTTCGATCTTTCCTTGGTCTTCCAGTAATGCCTCTACCATCACTGCGGCTTCTCGTTGTGGACCAGTTCCAGAAAAGGCCTCACAGTCAATCTTTAATGGAAGAAGAGCTAAATAATGACAAAATAATCCGTTAAATTTGGATCTGGATTCCCAAATCGCGATTGAACATAACTTTTTATTCCTCTGGCTATGTTCCCTCTCCCCCAAAACGTTACAACTACCATGGACTAGAAATTAAAACCTTTATTTTACAATCTAAAACGTCACTGAAATATAATTATTTAAGCTTGTTATCAAACTAAGGGCCCGTTCGAACAAGATCAGTTGATCAATCATCCAACATTTAACAATGTTAAATTTAACAAAGTTGATGAATACAGGCCATCGTTTGTATGTTAACTGACGAAACCAGTACCGACCAACCCTGGGGTGGGGAGGACTCCCTCATTTATTTGCCGCTGGACAGGGTAAGACTTTTGGGGTTTTGAGTCTACAATTATTGACAATTATTTCACTATTTAGCATCTGAACATGTATGATGTCTTTTAGGAAAAGAAACCTTTAAAAGACTTGTGAGTGCCGAGTACCAACAACATGTTTCAGAAAAATCTATCACTTACTTTTGTTTAAGAAATTACTTAATTCTGTATGAGAAACGAAATGAGGGTTGAAGGCCTCCGCAGCACATCTCTGAAGTTCCAAGAATTTCTCCCGGGCAACCATAATGTTGCAAGACAAGTTCAAGTGGCAAAAAATACTTAGTTTTCTCATTCAAGGTGATCTAGCAAATTTATTGAACACATCCAGCGTCGCCCAACAAGGTGTTCAAATAGATCCAACAAATCGTTTCCCATTTTTGTTTAACAAAGTCATCAACTTGAGCTGTCATTGGATACAAGTATACACTGATTCAGTTAGTAAGAAACTGCCACCCTAGATTCATTGCGTACGCTCACAATTGAAGCTGATTGTGGAGAAAGTCAATGTGGCAGCGAACAATTTTGGAAAATCAAAATTTGGATGACTAACATGCCCCATTTACTTGAAAAAAAAGGCACGATACGATATATCATCGTCGTAGTTTTGTATGCAGAGAAAGGCTCGAGTGTGAAGAAAAAACAACCATATTTTCATTTCGTTGTAACTATAAGGATGCGACAAACTGAAAGGTTTGGCCCTTGTCCTGTTCTGCCGATTTTGCATCTGGGCTATGGTAGGACAACCTCTACGAACTGCTCTTAACCTGCACATATATTTCCAGAAGAAAACGACGCGTTGTTTCATTCCATTTGGTCCCCGTGAAGGAGTATTGTTTTTTAAAAGAACTTACCCTTACCGGCAGAGCGTGAAGGGCTGTTTCTGTTGAGCGACTGCCGATTCATCTCTATCAGTTGATCCTTAATTTCTTTTGCTTCCTGACGAACTTCTGCTTTTATGAGATCCGTTCGTTCATGTAATGCTGTAATGCTTTTTGATTCCTCTTGAACTGCTGTCTAAGTGTGACATTTTTCAGTGTCAACAATGATTCTCCAAGGATAAACACACTAAGCAGTTACTAAACAGACTTGATAACAACAAAAACTAAGTCTCATCCTCGAATCATATTCTGAAAGAATGTTTACTAAGTATGGTCCAGCTTAATGAGGAATGGCACGGTCTCATATGAGGTGCTGTCCACGCTACCTATTCGCATAACCCATAAAAATGCACTAGACAGGGTTGGACATTGTCAGGATGCTTTGCAAGTCCCACAAGAGTCTAGCGGTACTGTGATACCGCGGGCGTAAGGTTATAAGCCCTTCTCTAGGAAGATTATAGCATTTTGACTAAAGATTAAAGATTAAAGATTTTTAACCATTTGCAAATGTGAAACAAATTATATAGCAGACGTACATTCTACTCAGTAATTTTCATTGATGATCGTTGAGCTAACCAGTATGTGTTAAGGCCTTACCAACAGTAATCAACACTTTACATTCACTTGAGAAAACGTTTAGAAAACGAACTCAGTGTAAAACTTAATTCCTACTTATCAGACTATACACTGTATTCTGGTCTGTTTTTTCTTCCAAATGCTGGCTAAGGTTCAGTAATACCATTTAATCGTCTGGCTGTCAAAAACATAAATTTGTTGAATTAAAGTCAATGCAAATGGCAATGTTGGCCACATACTTTCAACCCTACCTCCAAACGATTTATCCGTTCCCTGACTTCTTCTATAGATTTCTTGATCTCCATATCACTTTTATACCATGCCTCGAGTTCTTGCACATTTCGTTCATCTTCAGTTGTAAGAGGATCTGTCAAATATTTAGCAATGGCTCCTTGCCANACATTCACTTGAGAAAACGTTTAGAAAACGAACTCAGTGTAAAACTTAATTCCTACTTATCAGACTATACACTGTATTCTGGTCTGTTTTTTCTTCCAAATGCTGGCTAAGGTTCAGTAATACCATTTAATCGTCTGGCTGTCAAAAACATAAATTTGTTGAATTAAAGTCAATGCAAATGGCAATGTTGGCCACATACTTTCAACCCTACCTCCAAACGATTTATCCGTTCCCTGACTTCTTCTATAGATTTCTTGATCTCCATATCACTTTTATACCATGCCTCGAGTTCTTGCACATTTCGTTCATCTTCAGTTGTAAGAGGATCTGTCAAATATTTAGCAATGGCTCCTTGCCATGCAATTTTCCTTGTGGAACTGATCTGCCCAGCAATCCTCACAAGAGCTTCACTGATTTCTTGCCAAAGTGTTTTAAACTCATTATCTCTAATTTCCATGCCTTGGTTCACGTGACCATAGACCGAGTTTCGGTAATACTTTACCCTTGCTATATCAGCTGTTAAACTGTGATCTGTACTAACCGGTAGTGCATCCCATCCTGTGGTGGGAGGGGTGAGGCTGCATATAGTTCTCAACAATCGAAAAAGTAGAGTGACATCAAAATCTGCTGACTTGCCGTACACCCCTGGGGAAGGACAAAGAGAGTGCCACTGTGGCATGGTGAGTTTTGCAGCTTTGAGCTGGTTCTTTGTTGCGGGATTGCCTAGAATCGTAGGAAGATTACTTGGAGGACATATAGAGTCAAAAATCTCCCTCAGTAGGCTGGTTCCTCCACTTACTAAAAGTCGTGTAATGCGCTGGAATTTATCTTTTCCTTTCGTTGAACGAAGGATTTCCTCTGGATCTGGAGCGGCCGCCATTTTTTTCTCTCAGACTTAATAACTCTTACTAGCAAATGGAATGCAAAAATAATTGAAATATTTGCTAATTAAAAAATAATTAGCTTGTAGTTTTTTAATACTCTTAAACGTCAGTCTCTACAGGTTCTAAAACTATGCAAATTATTATTATTATTTTTTTTGAGTAGCCACATTTATTCAAAAATCCCGTTTTATAGCTCTACAAGCCTAAGACGGTAATTAAAAGGTTATACACTAATGCACTAGGATCTCACCGATGCTTTAAAATTTTGTTCTTTTGTTTCGGGTAAACGAGTCAGGGAAAGCACACCTGTTTATCAAACCTTTTAGTTTTCTTTATATTTTAACTGAGCCGGGGAAGTCCGTATTACCGTACAGGTCACAGCCAGGGCGGATAAAGGTTGGGCGGTGAAACGAGCGCTCCGCTCTTCATTTAATGTGTGATGCGGAGTAGGACTGGCACGAGCGCTCTTTCCGCGCTTCCGGTGCGCTTCAAGGCCGGCGAAATTTTCCTTTTTGCAAACCGGAAATCCTATTTTCTCTCTGTAATTTCAGGCTACAATGTTAAATAGATAAATTCGTTTCATAACAATATCAATAAACAGTTTCATATGTTTGTGTCTGTACGTCTATAATTCAAACTTGTTGGTCGTATAATGCCAAAATTTGAGTTTTATTTGAAAGTGTTGAATACCTCCTCCTTCCACTAAATATCACCTAATCGTCTTTCGCCGTTTCGTTTGCAAAAGCTTAACACTTCTTGTAAGACCCAAGTGTAACATTTTTTCTATTATTCGTTCTCGCGTAATTTGTTTTTCCTTTGCGTACGCAAATTAGTTTATACTTCTTTTCGTCCTTTTGTTTAGTCTTTTTTTTGGCGTTAATTTAGGTGTTTATTCCTTTCTGTCAGTTTTCGCGCCCTCGTTAGCCTTTCTAAGTTTCTATAGTTTTATTTTCCGCATGTTCTAGCGTATTTTTTCATATCGTAGTTTTGCAGTACAGTTTGGGCAGTTCATTTTGGTCCGCGCTTAGCGCAGTTCTGTTTAGTTTCTTGCAAGTCTCTTCGCGTTATTCGCAGTCCGCTTTACAGCAGTTTTCTCTGGCCGAAACAATGTAAGTGTACTTCACAGTCCTCGTTTTGCAGCTTTGTTATTTCCTTACTCTAATTTACCTTAGTCGCAACTTGTAACTTTTTTGCTTTTTTA